GTTTGAATCCTGCTGTGGCACTTGGTGGAATTTGAATTCAATTAAAAAAAAATCTAGAATCAAGAGTCTAAGTGATGACCATGAATCCATTGTGAAATGCTGGATAAACCCAAATGGCTCACTAATGTCCATTTGGGAAGAAAATCTACCATTCTTACCTGGTCAGGCCTACATGTGACTCCAGAACCAAAGCAATGTTGTTTGTTCTGAACTGCGCTCTGGGCAATTACGGATGGGCAATAAATGCTGGTTTACCCAGTGACACCCTCATACCATGGATGAAGTAAACAAAAATCAACCTTATTGAATAGTGGAGCAGGTTCCAGGAGCAAAATGTTCTGCTTCTGCTCCCATTGTGAATGTTCGTATTTAACCTCTCCTAAAGGTTCCCAACCAGCTTGTCTGTCAATGTGAAGCCATTTGGGCTCACTCCAAATGGGATTTGGTACTAGCTGTATACGCTGGGTCTAATAAAGTACATAAGCCCTACCAACAAATCATAACAATCTATGGCAGAACCTGGATGACACCCAGTCTTGGGCCGACATTTGACAAAAAAAGTGGCATGTTTGATTCAAAACTAGCTGAGAGGCAAGAAGCAGATGGATGTTTCTTTGACTGCAAGTCTGTTTCCAGTGAGGATTCTTGGGGCTGAGTGCGGGGGCCGTTGTTATCTTTGATGTACATTTAATGATTTGGACTTAAATGCAGACAGTATGATCCAGAGGTTTGTGGATGACGTGAAAATTGATAGGGTGGTAAATAGGTAGGAGGATATCCATAAAGTGTGGATGACATCAACAGATTGGTTAGATTGTCAGAGCAGTGGTAAAAGGAATTCAATCCTGAACAGTGTGAGGTAATTTACTTAGGGAGAGCCAACACTATTAATTAGCCTGGAAAGCACTGAAGATCACAGGGACATTGTTGTTTATATCCACAGATTCATGAAGGTATCAGAATGGATAGATAAGGTCCTTAAGAAGCCAAATGGAAAGCCTGCCTTATCAGCTGAGGCGTGGAATACAACTGCAACTATGCTGAGGAAGGGTCACTGGACCTGAAACGTTAACTCTGTTTTTTCCATCACAGATACTGCCAGATCTGCTGAGCTTTTCCAGCAACTTTGTTTTTGTTCCTGATTTACAGCATCCGCAGTTCTTTCAGTTTTTATGTTATGCTGGAACTGTATAAATGCTGGTTAGGCAACAACTGGAGTACTGCGTGCAGTTCTGGTCGCCACATTATGGGAAGAATATCAGTGACTTAGAGAGGGTGCAAAGATTTATCTTGATGCTGCTTAGGCTGGAGGATCTGAGCTATAAGGAAAGATTGAATAGGCTGAGGTTTCCTTGGTGCTACTCTTGGTCAAATCCTACCTTGATGTCAAAGGTAGTCTCTTGCCTTGCCTCTTTTGTTCATGTTTGATCCGAGGCTGTAATGTTGTCTGGAGCCAAGTGGCCCTGGTGAAATCTAAACTGAGCCTCGGTGACCAGGTTATTGCTGTGCAAGTAGATAGTTTCTTGATCAGTAAGGGAAACAATGGTTATAGGGAAATAGCAGGAAAGTGGACATGAGGAACGTTGGAAGCGCTATGGTGAAGCAAATTCGAGGGGCCACACACCCTACTCCTGTTCCTATTTCTTATGGTCTAAGTACTATTTGATAGCATTGTCAATTACATTTTCCATCGCTTTTTGATGATTGCATGTAGATTGATTAGGGCGGTGTTTGACTGGATTGGATTTGACCTGCTTTTTGTTGATTGCCATATTGTCAGGTTGATGTCAATGTTGCAGCTATTCTAGAACAGCTAGGTTCTGGAGCACAGGTTTTCAACACAACAGCTAGTATGTTTTTAGTGCCCACACCCTTTCCTGCATCCAGAGTCTTCAGTTGCTTCTTCATATAATCTGGAGTCAATCGAATTGGTTGAAGCGTGATATGTTGGGGACTTTAGGACGAGGCCAAAATGGATCATCCACTTTGTACCTCTGGCTGAAAATGGTTGCAGAAGTTGCAATGATTCTTGTCTGACATACTAGGCTACCACGTCATTAAAGATGGGGATGTTTGTGGAGCCTCCTCATCAGGCTAATTGTTTAGTTATCCATCATCACTGCAAAATTTAATCTGCTCAGTTGGTTGTGGAATCACTTAGCTCTGTTTATCATATGCTGCTGCTGTTTAGCATTCATTCTGTTTCATGTTTTAGCTTCAACAGATTGATACCAAATTACTGGCTATGCTTGTGCTGCTCCTGGCAGGTACTCCTACTCTCTTCATTGAACCAGGGTTGATCCTCTGACTTGCTGATAATGGTCTGGTGACTGATATGCTGGACCATGAGATGACAGTTTATCATAAACTACATTTAATTTTTCGGCATCTCAAATATTGAGGTGTTGGATCTGGTCTGAATTTATTCCATTTAGTACCATGCAGTACAAGACGACATGAGGAATGGGTACAGAACATAGAATCATAGAATCCCGACAGTATGGAACAGGTCATTTGGCCTATTGAGTGCACATCGACCCTCTGAAGAGCATCCCACCCAGACCCATGTCTCTACCTTATAACCCTGCATTTCCCATGGCTAATGCAGCTGGCTTGCACATCCCTGGATTGCTGTAGTCTTTTTAAATAGAATATTATAAAATAAAATGACAATTCCGCACAAAATGTTTACATAGCACTCTCTTACCAACTGAAGCTTATGCTAAATAATGGAAATAGTTGATAGGTGATAATGAAGAGGAGAATTTCCTTATCATGAGAATTTAGACCTCAAGGGGTTCTGGGCCTTTCCCTCTCTCCAATACTGATGGACTGTTCCCTCTGATTGTCAGTCCTGGTGATGTATTTGGGGAAGGTTTTGGAGGAACCAGCTACTTTGGTTATGATTCAATGATTATGACTATATCACGCTGTATCATGGTCAGCCATTGGGACTGCCTTCCCAATTTTGACACACCTCCAAGCAGTCAGAAAGGACATTTGCAGAGTTGACTTGCCAGGGTGCGCCTTTGTCAGTTCACTTGACTAGGTCAATGATAGGTGATCTGTCCACTTACTATTTCAACTTATCCTGGTGGCATTTTATAACTGAGATTCTTGCTTTCAGGGGGCAGTTAAATGTAGTTTATTCATGTTAATTAAAAAAATAGTTTCCTGGGGAGAAAGCAAATGCAGGAGTGTTCTTCCACATGCCACAGCCACAAATACAATCAGTAAGCCTATTTACCTCCTTGCTGGTTACTTCCCTCTATTTTGCATTGTCTCTCCCAGCCCCAGAACCTAAGTGAGGGCCGTTGATGTTGAAATTGAAATCTGGTTCACTAGCAGCTGCCTTTGGGAAAACAGAGCAGGTATTCACAGCCCACCTGTCTAACTAAGGCCTTAGGCATGAAGCCTAATTTTGATCGGGCCTAAGGTCTGCATCCAAAACTCGATTCTCAGTTTTTTTGTTGCCAAGGCTGATGCTCTGCAATTTTCATTATCCACTACAAACCAAGTAATAATAATCTAATAATTACTTTACCGCACTATTTCTCTGGTAACATTTCTTTAATTTGACCTAATCTTCGATGTCAGGCACAATATTGAGATTTGTACTTTTATCGTATTAAGCACCAATACAGATCTAATCTCCTCCACCTTCTTAAGGCACCTAAGGCTGTTTATCCCTATGTCATTGCTTCTTTGCTACATGAACCACAAGTTCTAAATGGTTTCCCCTCTTCGACAGACGGTTTTCCAGTACATTCGGGTGATCTGACAGGGAGAGCGTAAAGAAAGATTGCTTTGTGGTCTGACCTTCTCCAGCTTGAGAAAGGAATGGAAAAAAAATGCAGCCTCTTGACATCCTTTCTGTAAAAAAATTCTGCTGAGCAAGGCCGCCAATGTCATGAAATTGCTGATTAGTTTGAATTTCCAGCGTGCTGGGGGGTGGTGGGGGGTGGGGCTGGTGGTGATTGCTTCAACCCATGTTGAAGGAGCTGCTTCTGATGAGGTGTGAAAACCTCCAGTTTCAAACTTACTGCCTTGAGTCACATTAATTACTGACACAAGCAAGAACTGAACTAACACAGACAAAATCTGCACAACTGCTTTACTATACACCTGAAATCAACTGGAGAATAAAAGATTCTCAAAACCAGCAGACTCTATCTTTTGATACACTGGCAAGTTCAGCTATGAGGTTTATTTCAAACTCATATAACATAATCCTTAGGATTCAGCCATAAGGATGTGTATTAGAAGATAACTCATATCCTATCCCTTAATCGCTTTACGTAACAGTGCTATTTGAGCAAAGTAAATCATTCATTTGCGTGCCAAACTTCAAGCAACATGCTAACTTGCATTTTAAGTCTGCACAGCAACCATTGCTAATATGAGTGACCAAAACCATAAAATGGAATGAAGTTTGTAACGGATAAGTTACATTGGAAGGAAGCAACATGACTTTGGTTCAAGCACTGAGGAAATTTTGGTTGACTGAATAGTTTAAGGGTTGCAAACAGTTCATGAAGACATCTGTCCCTTTCCTCAACGTTTACATTTTCGCTAAATATGAAAGAAATAATTACTTAGAAGTGGTGATCATGACAGGAGTGGCCCGCTAACCACAAATATTTTCCCACACCAGAGAATGCTTCTTTCGAAGGATCCCTGAAAACTCAGACTGATCAGGATCTACGTAATCTGCATGGGCGATGTGTTAGCTTGTCACTTCATTTGAAGGAAATTATTAACTGAAACCTCACAAACCAAACCTCAGGGCTACACCAACGTTTGTCCCATCCTATCTAACACCATCTCAACTTCAATGAATTGCAAAGCAAGTGTGAGCTGGGTATTTTTGATGAGCCAAAAATACACAAGTAGCAAGTATAAATGTAAGAAGGAACAATGCTTGGCATCAGTCTTACTTTTGAGCCAGATCAGAGCAAACATAAAGATTCACAGCAGTGACTTTGTTTCAGAGTGTTTGATCTTCTCGAAACAATGATACTTTTGACATGTTTGATCATTGGGATGGTCAGTCACGTACTTTCAGATTCTACTGGATGTGCAGCTCCACATTCATTGGATAAGCAACTAACACGGTTGAGCCAACATTTCGTAAGTACTGATTTTAATGTATAATGCTTTCGTCGTCTATGCCTTTTGATGTAGTGTAGAACATTTATTTGTGTTGAGTGCCATACAAAAGTTAATTACTTAAAGCAAGTACTATCTTGCAAGATGCAAAACTTCAATTTGATTGTTCAACTTATTTCACATGAAGATTTTGAGTTGCATTTGGCTTTATAATACAAATGTTTAAATTTGGATTCTTATTGACCACTTGTGATTTAAACTGTTTCTAGAATATAAACCATCCGGATGTTGGAAATGGAGGGGCAATATTTACCAATATACTAAAGAAGTATAAACAGGTGAGATTCTGCTCAAAGAATTTTTCTGTATTTGAACATGCTTGTATTCCACTACTATATTCATGTAACCACTATTATTTGTCTTTCAGATCCCTGAAAAAAGCATTATTTTGGATGCTATACTGCACTTGTACTTGGACTTATTTAAAGTTTTAATGCAACACAATGAAGTCAAGGACGAAGTTAGCATTGTTGCCAATAGTTTGAATGAGTGTATGACATCTGCAAACTACAAAACACAAAAAGAACTTCTCAGTGATCTCAAGAAATTGTACAATATCAAAGTAAGCATCTTTTACATTGCTTTTATATTGATTTCTCAACTTGATAATTAATTGAATCTATTTAAAGTCTATCTTTATCTTACCTTTGACAGTGGGATGATCAAATGGTTCAGCGCAAAGCAATCATTGAACTTCACGATGTTCTGGACATAATGAAAGACACTGGGAAAAGAAGACGCAAGAGGAACATGGGAAGGAGGCCGAGGATCTAAAGATTATTTTACTTTAGTTGTAGAGCAATAATAGACACGTCTATAAAATCAAAAATTTAACCTATTTATTTCATATTTAATAATTTATATTTGCTGCAATGACATGTTTATCATAATATTGTTAATTTTACTAATTGCTCCCTTGTGTCCGTGGACTTTGAATATTTATTAGACAATTATGAAGTTCTATGAACTAAGGTGAAACTTTTACTGACCTAAATACAATTTCAATTTGGCAATCATTTTGAAAAAAATGCTTTGATCAAACATCTTAAAACCAGATGTTTTGTATGGCCAATAGATTGACATTCCAAAAAATAGCAGAACCTACGACTGCTTATTATGCCTGAGCAGAATATTACTAATTTTCGTATAAGTTTTATGTATTTTTCCATAAAGGAAAATACTTTCTTTACAATTACTAAAGCCTAAGTCGTAACAGTTTCATCTTAAAAAGACACACTGGGCAATATGAACATCTTTTTAAAAAAAAGAACATTTGAAATCTGCTTCTGTCAGATGTGTCTGAAATGTGCTATTAATGAACAGAATAAAATATATAAATTTATTTTATAGTTTGAGTTTGTTTCTATATGGACACGTTAGCCATTGTAATCTCAATCAACCTTTGTGACATCAGTGAAACTTGGCCTTCTGACAATTAAGCTACACTGCCAGATGAAATATCTTTGCACCTTGTTAATCAGATGTGGTTCAAGAAATGGATAAGTGATAAATGAACAGAAGAATTAAGCTCAATTCATGTAAATCCTAATGAAATGAGCAAAAGGCAACACTGTAAAATGTTGACAAAATAACTTGCCAATGCAAAGTTCCTTCCTGGGAAGACTGTTCTTTCTGGAATAATAACTGGAAATAAATTACATCTTCACGCTGGAATAATGTATAAATCTTCAGTGTCATTTGCCATATTTACCAGAATTATGGACACCTGATATATGGATGCATCATGAAGCAATTGGTTGGAAATGGAAGCTGAAAATTGATGGTTATTCACTACTCTGCTGACTGAGGTGATGGTTCAGTGGCACATGGTATCACAATGCCCACCTAATCTACTTAAAATTTCTTCACAAAATTCTAGGAGGTTCAACTCATGATGAAAGGGCATAAGACAATGTTAAAATGTATCCTGGTACCCTTGATTAATAGACTATGCTTATAATAATTTTATGACCTATCATGTGTTCAGTAATGTCATAGGTGTGGGTTTATAATAGAGGAAAGATGACCTTGGATTTTCTTTGTGGCGCATCCTGGAAATTTGACCCAAAATATGTCAGTTTCCAAATCCTTTCTGCTGATATCAAGTTATGACCAAATTTATTGAGAGTTATAATTCTATGTGCCAGAATATAAAGTCAACATAACCGTCGAGGCATGAGGAAAGAGTCAAATCATATCATCAGTTGACCAGTTTTCATGTTTGCTTGCAACAGCATGTTTGACAAATTTCAGCTGGGTGACCTATCTATTTTTATTGTGAATAACAACTACAAAGATAATCTATTTAAAGTTCTTTGAAGAAAATATTGAAGAATTGCAATACTGATGACATTTTTTTTCTCCACCTGAAATTCTGATCCTATTTTAAAGAAACGCATTAAGAAAGTTAAGTTGCAGGAAATGTGCTATAAGGTTCTGTAGGGCCATTATTATGAGTAGAGATATGTTTGGATCGAGGCTTTGAACATAATAGAGAAAGGAAATATGATTATATTGTTTTTACTTGCATAACTCATATCCAAATTCTTTAGTCTTTTCGCTTATTTAATTTGAGTTCACATTGTGTGCATCTACAGGCACAATAATAAAGGAAATTCCAGATAAACCCAGAATGTGCAACTTGCTACCAGAATGAGCACTGAGGTCTTAAGTGTAGAATCATTTCGGAAGAAACCATCAGGAGAAAGAGATTGAGATGAATAAAGAGGATTAATATTAGTGTTGAATTGAGGGTTGATAAATTCCCTGGACCAGATGAGCTTCATCCCAGAGTTTTGAAGGAGGTAGCAATGAGGTGGTGGATGCATTGATGATTAACTTTCATAATTCTTTAGATTCTGGAAAAGATCCCGCTGATTGGAGGTAGCAAGTGTAACTCCACTATATCAGAAGGAGAAAGGTGAGTGTCGAACTACAGAATTGTTAAGCTCGATGGTAACAGTAGGGAAAATATTAGAATCCATTATAAAGGATTCAATAGCAGGACATCCAGAAAAGAATGATAAAATTGGGCCGCATCAATATGGATTTATGAAAGTGAAACCATGTTTAACACCCTGGAGTTTTTGAGGAAGTTATGTGCAGTATATAGACAAAGGAGAATCAGCAGATGTGATGGATTCGGATTTTCAGAAGGCTTTTGATTAGGTACTCCACAAGGAGTTAATAAATAAAATTGGAGATTTGGAGAAAAATACTAGTATGGATTGAGAATTGGTTAATAGTCAGAAAGTGAAGAATAAGATAAAATGGATTGCTCTCATGATCACAAGCTGTAACTAATGAGGTACCTCAAAGGTCCAGATCTGTTTGCAATCTATATAAATGATTTGGATATGTGGCTTCAGTTCCTTTGCAGTGTAACACTATGATCAGTAATGACTTTGTATGATCTGCGTTGAAATTTCAGATGCTTTAGAAACCTTTGTTGGTATCCAGACATTTGTAACTTTATTTCTGACTCAAACTCTCTGCTTAATGCATATTACTTGTAGATTTCCACCGGTTCGTATCTCTTTCATTCTCCTCTGTATTTGAAGAAGAATGTCCTGAGTTTCAGAATAGTTAGACAAGTGATTGCTAGACAAAGTTGTTCACTTGACTTCTGAGAATACATTGTGCTGTGGATGGTAATCCTTTCTTTGCATAAATATTCTGTATTGCATTGTGAAAATCTTGTTTTGTTGCCCGATATTAGATGATTATCGAATTGTTGGTAAGTACCATATGTAATGCTGGACCATTTGAGCAAGGATAGTGAGGTGATGATGTGATATGGATTACTCTCAACTTAGCATAGATGCTGTCAAACAGTATCCATTCCAGTATGCCGAACAAACTGAAATAATGCATATCATGTCAGCAATAGCTACAATCATTGTGTTGCTAAGTCATTAAACAATGGGAAATTTAGGAAAATAAGTTGCAACAAGGATGTCATCTTCCCTTTGCACTTTTATGTTTAATAAGTTCATTGGGTGTGGGTGTCACAGGTTAGATCAGCATTTATTGTCCATCCCTAAGTTAAAACTCAACCAAATCGCTGTGGGTCTAGAATTACATGACCAGGTAAGAGTGTCAGATTTACTTCCTTAATAAACCAGCACGGTCTTTGTGACAATGGACAGCGATTATTTTGTCACTATTAGACCAGTTCTTTATCCCAGATTTTAATGAATTCAAATTTCACCATCTGCCAGAGTAGGATTCAAACCCATGTCCCCAGATAGGCCATAAATCTGGGACAATCCTGCCCTGTCCGTTTGTGGAATATCCATCTGCATTGTATGGGAGTCAGGCAATAAATTAATTGCTGTAAGGGCTGCGTCCCCCTTTAAAAGATGCATTCTGCCATTGATACCCCCTCTCCCAGCCACAATGAGAAGCCTGACAATCAGAGGCCTGGTAACTCAGCAACATTGCGAGCTGCCCATACCCAGGTGAATGCACCTGGAAGAAGAGGTTAACTTGGAAGAGTGTTGCTGCCCTCCCATGTTGCTGGTATTTTAAGGCAGGCACTGGTCAGGCAGAACCCACTACAGAGGAGATTGGTGACGGCAGTGGTGAGTGCTACCACAGGCTGAGCCATTACTGCTGCAGAACCTCTCCGTAGGTCAGAGAATGACTATAGAGAGGGAACACCATCTCATCTTAAGTCACCAACTATGGTAGTGACATCTTAAGGAGAGGCTGAGAGGAGCTAAGTGTGTCTTATTGCCTTAATATTGTTACTTCCATATCTTTTGTTAAATGTCAGGGAAGGTGGTGGACTAGTGGTATTATTACTGGACTATTAATCCAAAAACCCAGGTAATATTCTGGAGACCCGGTTTGAATACTGCCATGGCAATTGGTGGAATTTGAATTCAATATATAAAATAAAAACTGGAATTGTCAATTGTCAGAAAAACTCATCTGTATCACTAGTGTCCTTCAGGGAAAGAAATCTGCCATTCTTATCTGGTCCACATGTGACTCCAGACCCAGAGCAATGTGTTTGACTCTTAACTGCCCTCTGGGCAATTAGATATGAATGAATAAAAAATATTAAATTTTAGTATACATCAATTGCAGAGATCAAAGGTAAAGTTGGTATAAGAGTTTCGTGTTAAACATTATGTATTGGAGGGATGCTAAAATTGTGAAGTGTGGTACTGAGGGTTCTTATAATAAATCACAAACCCAATAATAACAAGGCAAATAATCATACAGGAAGTATATAGTATGCATGCTTATGCACTTATGCTAGTTTCTGTAGCATGAGCTTATTAAATGACAAAGATCTGATTCTATGATTGTCATAATGATGTCTACATGTTCTGGTGCCTAAATGAACCAAATAATATAGAATTGGAAAGCAGTCACCAACACTCATTATGTAGAAAATCAGGCAGCAACATGTGGAGTTTGCGAATACACAGCTGAATATGTAGCCTGGTATATCTGGCTGCAGCAAAGGCCAAGTTATTCAGCATGGAAATCCATGCAAGAGTATGAAGTAGTGTACTTATTCAATGATTGATGTGATGAAACTGAGGCAGACAGCTGAACCAAAGTAGCATTCCTACCTCTATTTTCAACACAGCAAAATTAAACCATTGAAGAACCCCAATTTTTCAAGCCAATAGTTCCGAACAAACTTTTCAATAACCAATGTCAGACTTGTGAATAATTAATCTCCAGACACCAGTTTTGTATCTCAAACAAAAGTTGTAAAAATTTATTAAACACAAAATAACATTAGCAGACAGGAA